GCTAGGATTTATCGTGATACCATGGATAAATTAGTGACCTAACACCTGCAATGAGGACCCCAAAATACAATAACCTCTTTTGAAATAAGTGGAGTTGAACATACTTTTAGGAAGTCTAAATAGATACAGTTTAAAGGGGAAACAATAAGCCAACATTCCACATTCTCCAAATTGGCCGCGATCCTGCCAGCTACGGCTCCCATGCTATTCAGCCATATCACGATACCTTAGTCTCGGCTTTCCTTGTTCATGGGCAGGTCCTAGGGAGATAGCCAAGCCTTTGGGATCAAGTTGAGGTAACATCGCCGCATACAAATGCCTGTATCTTTTTCAAGGGTGCACTTCTGTTTTTGCATTTTAAAGGCACTTTGCATGTACCCAAATAAGTGTTAGTAGCCAAAGAAAATACATCAAAGTCTATTTTTCTTGGCATTGTTTTATTGCAATGATATTTAAGACAATGTTGTATCCTACTTTCTTTACTTAAATTTATGGGAACATTTTTGTATTAATGTAAACTCTTCATAAACTTGAATAGCGAAATGGTAACCCATTAACTAGATTTGCTGTAGATAACTATTCTTCATGATTAGTCATGTAGTTTGCAGATGATTGTTCACCATTTTAGGAAACACAGTATTGAGATGAACCTCTTTGTACAGAAAGCACTTTGGGCTTGAATTGGTGGATGCTTGTATTTCATTCATTGATTCCTTTACCAGTACTGACTGTGCACTTACTGTTGCTGGGTGGTCCAAAGATGAGTGCTTTCTGCTTTTAGAGAAGTCACTGTCCATCTAGTAGGGCTCAGATAAAGAAAAAGTCACTATACAGAGTGATATGGGGAGATGTAGAAAGGCTTCCAGGGATATGCACAAGGGCAAAGGCACTGGGATTAGCGAGAATGTTTATTACTAGAGTACAAAATATGAGAATCAAGCTGTGGGAAATGATGTGACCAGAAAAGTAGAGGGAAGCTGGTTCACGAAGGCTCTTTTGTGTTATGCTAGCACTCATGTTACATTTAACTTGAAAGTTATGAGATCCCATTAAAATATTTGTGTATGGAAATGACAAGATCAGTTCGGATTATATATTGGGTGTTGGGAACAATACAAAATAAAAACTTTCTCACTAAAATAAACAAAATAGTCATTTTAATATTAAGCCCAAACCCTGAGGGAAAATAATAATTCATAGAAATATAAAAAGAATGGCTAAGAAGTAAATGGCATGACATGATTTTGGAAGTTGTTCAAGTTTAAAAAATGTATATGCTTTAAAAAACCCCAGCAGAATATGTATCTCTAAGAAATGCTCAAGGTCCTTCATCCTCATTGAAGTATGTTCACTTTTGATTCACTTGCTTGTTGCCAGTTTTTAATTCAATAAAAATAAATAAATAAAAATTTAAAAGAAAATTATGAAGATGAATATATGTAGTCTCTGTCTTACAGATGTTCCACAATTTAAAAGTTTGGAATGTCTAGTAACGTATAGAAAATTTCAATTATGCATATCGAAACACTAAACCCACTTTCAAGAATGTGTTTCTACATTTATGATGCAAGTTGTAGCAATATGATCTACCTGGATAGAATATAGTTTTATTAAAAATACACATTTCAGGAGTTAAACAGAAAACATAGAAAAAAAGTATCAGTTTATCTGTGAGCCATTAGGAGGACAATGTAATATCTAGTCTTTGTCAAATGTCTTCAGAGGACAAAGAATGAGTCAATAGATAAAAATTACCTTCCATTTTCAGATTTTTCCCTAGTGCAGTAATGAGACAAATACATAATAGTTATTTTATTTATTTTTTCATAATTGTATTCAAAACATCAAAACATTTCCCCAATACTACTTTAATGGGAATGACCCAGAGACAAAGTTAATTGCCATAAAGCAAATGATACACTGTCAACAGCCTGCAGCTACTCAGGGTTCAGGCAGAAGGCCAGTTACTTCATCAGTTTCTGCTCGTCCCCAGGTTCCACAGTACTGGATGCATTCTAAATACTGCTATTAAATGCTAGAATGGAAATTTCCTGTCTTGGCTGGGACATAAAAATATATAAAAGAAAAAAATCAAACAATAACATTCCCATATGGGTTTATGATCTTAGTTGTATTTTCATAGGCATGAAGTGTCTGTAGCTCAGGAATAGATTTTTTTCCCCCTGATTCTATTGTTTTTGTTCAATAAAATAAAAAAATAAAAAATTAGGGCTAAGCATCTCCTATCTGCCAAAAAACTTACGATGTGAGCTTCCTTGCTACATTGTGGAAACGTCCCAATTCATACTCAAACGCCTTCAGGCTTTCTTAGAGCACCCTGTAGGCGGGCTCCCTGAAATAGTGCTGATAGCTTTATCCTTTTTGATATATCAATACTTAAAAGATTTTTTTCAATAGCTCAATATGTTAGCTCTGGGCTAACAGAACTAAGGTTAGATAGCTTCTGAGGAAAGGGAAGAAGTGCAGTATAATTAGCCCTGAGTTATTTATTCCGTGGCTACATATGTGTTTATCAAAAGCCTTCCGGATAATGTCTGTCTGTCATCTTTTTGTGTTGTAGTTGGCAAAATGCCATTATTTAAATTAGTTTAGGCAGCTACATCTCATATTGTGCAAAAGAGTATCTTGTGACTATTGAAGACTTTAAATTAGATTTTTAAATGAACAGTTGTATTTCATGGAAGTAACATTTTAATCTTACTTTTAGGTTGGCATCATTGTAATGTAGAAATAATCCTTATATATACTACCATTATACAAAATTGGCATAATGTCTATCTAATATCTGTATCAGGTCATAAAAGGAGCACCTGAAGCGTTAAAAAATAGAAGAACTTGACCACAAATGTGTCTCAAGTTCTTACATTTAGATAACCCCTGCCTTGTGGGGCCGCTTTCTCTGTGAAAAAAAACGAACATAGTGCATCATTTCTGCTTCTCTAGCAGTTTATTTGAAAATTATGTGAATTTAGTAGGTATTGAATGCTGGTATGATTAGGTCTAATGTCACACTCCACCCTTCTTGACCCTACCAAGGAATAAATAGCCCGGACAGCTCCTAAGAGTTTGCCTGAGGCATGAAAAGTTGCCTTTTCTCTGCAAGTTAGAATCAGATTGCCTGGCTGCATGAGCTGCGTGGGTCAGGCTGGAGGACCTCAGAGGCAGAGCTGTGGCCCTCCATGAAGTCCTGGGCCCATGATGGACTGCAGTCCAGCTCATGCTCCACTTGCCAGGTTATACACCCTGTTACAGGACAGCTCCTGTGAGGAGAAAGGAGCACTGTTTTCTAAGTCACCTGCCAGTGTGCGTGATTTTTCCCTAATCTGTATGCCCTGAGAACCACCTTTCACTAATCTGTGGTTGGATGTCCCTCCCAGGCCCTGCACCTAGGGTCTAGCTGGAGGCACACCTTCTCCACTCAAGGGGAAGGACCTCGGACCCGCCTGGCACACCATGGTCTACACTGAGCTCCCAACTTATAATTGCATTGCTCCAGAACCCTGGGATTCTCCAGAGAGGGAATAATTTGGCCAATGTTGTGCTGCCTATGCTATTGTAGAAGATACGACTGAAGATCTAAATGGTTTCAATTACATGATATGCAGTAACCACAGATATATTGTTAGTTAATCTACAATGTATACAGATGTAGTCATGTTTTTAAACTACAAATTGCCATGGGCTATGCTCAGTGTTGCTGAGAGGGAGATCAAGGGATGATCCTGAACCTATTCTTGTTCTTTTGCCTTCTACTTGTCTCTCCCCACCCCGTTCAAGTCAAAGTAAAAGATATTCAAAAATTAATAAAGTCTCTCTCTCTCTCTCTCTCTCTCACTCTCTCTCTCTCTCTCTCTCTCTCTCTCTCTCTCTCTCTCTCTCTTTCTCCTTTTCTCCTCTCTCTCTCTCTCTCTCCATCCCTTCTCTTTTCCTTGTCTGATGTCAGCTTTTCCTTTCTGGTAATTAAATGACAGCATGGCTTCTCTGCCACCAGCCTGGGCTTTCCTGTCCAGCATGACCAGCAGGAGCACTGAGCTGCCTAACTATTGTTGCAAAGCAGTCATAGGACCCTAACTAGTGGGTCTTCAATAGTGACCAGAAGACTTGTGATTTTTTTCCTTAATCCTTCATGATCCATCTGGTTTTAAAATGATTGGCTGATTTAATTATTTTATAATGCCAAACAATAGGTTAAATTAGATTACAAAATCTTATCTAGATATCTAGACTTTTGCAGAGAAATAGAATTAGAGCATATTGGATAGGCTTTTTAAGTGTAAGATGCAACAATAAAAGGTGGTCAAGCAAGCATGCATATAGGGCTCTGAGAAAAATGAATACAGCACACAAATGGTTGTTTTTACCTCCGATAACCAGACTTTATCATACCAGAGAAAGTAGAAAAGCCAGTTTTCTGAAATCTGGTGAAAAGTGGTAAGAGTCCGATGGCTTTTCTTAGAGAGCATGATAAGCATTGGGGAATGCGGAATTTTAGAATTCTTGGGGTCTTTATCAGAGGCGATAAGAATAAAGGTCTGAGTCATATACAGAGTGAGCTTACCTCCCGTAGTTTACCACAGAGCACTGAGGATGTGTGACTGAATGACAGAGGTAAAGGCATGTCTCTATGCATGTGCTTTCATGGAGGCATACAGGTGTTATGCAAATACATGTTTCCACCACTTAATGCTAAAAGATGGCATAGCCCTTTACAACAAATCTGTAATATCTTATCAATTTACTCTGTCACAATTCCTTTGTACTATAAAACTTGCCATTTAATTTCTTACAAGGAAGAAAACTACCATTCATCTTCCTTAAGCCTAGAGATACATTTTGTTATGTAAATAATATCATCTTCATTGATCTAAAATATCTTTAAAATATCTATGAAAATGACAGCAAGCCTGTAAACACCTCCCAAATCTATTAGATAAAGGCCTATGATAACATTTCTTTATATGTTCATTTGCTCTTTCCAGGAGAAAGAAAGACAACAGTGTCTTGCACAAAAATCATGAACAAAAATATCAGCATTGTGGACAACAAGAAATGCAAATACTTAACCAAGCCAGAGCCGCAGATTCGCAAGTGCAACGAGCAACCCTGCCAAACTAGGTAACGCTGTCCGCCACTCCTTAAGGCATTGTTTTGCCATTACTGGTCTTTAAAACACACTCAAAATATTAGGGAAGTCACATTTTCTTAAAAACAATGGAAGGGACCTGTACCAAAATGCTAAGTTTTAAATGAGCAAGGTCTAAGAAAGAAAGATAATAGAGGGAATGAATATTGGAGCATCAAGGTTGGCATTTACCTGTATTTTAACGGAGCTCTCCACAGTGTGAAAACAACCACTGACTGGGATGGAGGGGAAGAAGTCATTAACATTACTTGGTAACCTGTTGGTCATCTCTTCCAAATTTTGGTTATTGGGTTGAATGCAGCTATCATTCCTGAATTCTTCAAAATGGTGTGTTAGAACTTGCCAAGGGTGATAGAAACCAACACAGGACTGGCCAGGACCCTGTTCCCTGCTCAGCCATCGGGGGTGGGGGAGAGGCAGTGTGGTCCTCCTGGTTCCCAGCTGGACCCTCACTTCCTCTCCCAGAATTCCCTAGGCAAATGGCCTGACTCCTGATCTCTGATTCCTGATCTGGGTTCTAGTTACTGGACAGTTAGTTGCTTTGGTCTCCTGTGGCTTCCCCGATGAGCATTAGGCAATGCAGCAGGCAAGAAAGTCATGAGTTAGGGGACCAAACAGCCATGCTGAGCAGCTGGAAGTGGCTTAGAAAGAAGCCATGCGTTAGTCACTTGCAGAGGTGAATAAGTGGAACCTTAGTATAATTTTGGAGCAGGTTAGCAGCAAGGCTATTTGGAATGGTCCCCATCACAGGGCTCGTGAAAATCTACATGCTTTCATATAAAGTTGATGTTGGACTTGAGTGGGACTAAGCCCCAGTGTCAAAACTCCTGGAAAGGTTTAGGGATGGCATGACAAAAAGAGTGAGGCTGGATTGATTCCTCTAGACTATGGGCATAGGGACATTTCTATCCTGACACTCAGAGGTTTGTAGAAGCTCAGTGAGTTAAACGGTAGTTGTGAGTTCTTGGGGCATCCAACAGAGAATTGAGCTCCCCTCATGATAGTTTCTGCAGCGGGGTCAGTGAATTTATACATCCTGCAGCTCGGATGTATATGCAAAGAACTCGGAGCTTTGTAGCCATCTATAATAAACATAATCTTCATGACCCTCCACTGCAGCGAAAGGAGAAGGAGGAACAAAGTGGCCAATTAACTCTTCAGGCTTTTCTGTCCTAAATAATCTCTTTGGGAATTAGTGTCATGCAGGCTAGTGCCCAGCTCTCCTGGTTTCCTTATTCCCCACCGTACCCACTTCTGGAGTAGCACTGCATCCTGAGTTCCCTTGATTTCTGCTTATTGCAAAACTCAATTAGGAGGCCCTCCACATCTGGCTCCTGCTATGTTAATGAGAGCGAACTTAGGAGAACCTGGAAAACCCTTTCTTCCTCTACAGAGCTGAAATTTCGAGACTTGCTTCTCTGTAGATTCAATGTATTTTGAGTGTCACAAGCTGATTATCAACCTTTTCTTCCCTGTGTGTTCCTGCTCTAACAATCCTCTCCCACAGGCAAAACTATGCTTCTAAAGAATAGGACAAAAGAATGATGTGTAAACGAATGTGCAAAAGATACAAGTACACCGCCATACTTTCAATAGTTTATGTTCCTGCCTGGCTATGTGCTTTTCAGCCTAACTCCATAAGTAGATCAAGTAATTAAGCGTTTTTATAAGGCAGTGTAATAATCAGCAGGAAGGGCGACCTAAGGAATTATTGTCACCTATAGTCAGGTCCTTGGGTCCTTTGCATTCAGCGCTGAACAGATAAAGAAACCAAGTGTTTGGCCTTTGCCCTGTCAGCTAAAGAACCTGGACTTTTTTTGTTACTATTATTCCTAAGAATCCTCTTTTCTTTCTTCATTTTTTAAATACATATTAAAATGCTAATTTGCCTTACATTTAGTAATTTGTTATAATATTTGAAAACACCATTTATATACCATATACCTTTTCCATATGGATGAAAGAGCAATGGCTTTTTCTGATACATCAGGAATCTTTTTTTTTTTTCTTAAAGATTTTATTGGGGAATCGGGGAAGGGGAACAGATAAGTTGTTGTCCTTTTGTTCTTCAGTCTAGTTGTGGAGGACGTCGCTTCACTGGCCCATGTTGGTATTGTGATCACTGCGCTCTTCCTGACTGAGGCAGATCAGTCGCCGACCACTGGACGGCCGCTCACGGTGGCTCTTGGCAGCTCACGCTGGCTGCCGGCCACTCACGGTAGCTTATGGCAGCCCACGGCAGCCCCGCTGCAGCCTACACGACACTGGCAACCCACGGCAGCTCAGCTCCATCTTAGCTGTAGAGGGCGCAGTGTCACTGTCCCATGTGGGATCTGAAACGGCGGCCCTGCTACTCAGACCTGGCGCTCCCAAGCCAACTCTTAACCAACGAGCCACTCGCCGGCCCTACATCAGGAATCTTGAATGAGCTGGCTGGAGGACTAGAGTGTATTTGTCACTTCCAAATGTGGTCAGTGAAGGATCCGGAGGTACGGTGCCTGCCATTTGTTGTCCATTCACTGACCTCAGCCATCTTGGGGGCAAATGCCTCGATAATGACTTGGTAAAATGAATAGTTTAAAAAGGTCAGTACATTTCTGAGTGCAGGATTAGTTTTGCAGCTGGAGGCTGAAAGTCTTTTTGTAGAGATGAGTCTTTTCCTTCTCTCGGAAAAGGAAGCTCTGTGTTGTGAACCACCAAGAAGCGATGTCGGTGAGGTTAACGAAAATGCTTGCAAGTAAGAAATGGACACAGATGATTATTAGGAGTCATCACAGGAAAGCTTTCTAAGGCTTTGCGTAACTGATATCGCACAACCATTATTTCTCCTGCCTCTTCTTTGCCCCACCCTAGTAACACTCATTCTAATTTCTTTTCACATTTATTGAAAAAGTCACCAACTGGTCTGATGGAACCCTATGTGCCAAATGTAAAATATAGTGATGCACTAGTAAATAGCTTTGCAAAAACGAATCGTAAAGGAGACAGAGTAATTCCAAATTAGATGAATTCTAAAATACAGAATGTTTTCTCTCATTGTGACACATTTTACATGTTCATTGTTATTTTTGAGCAGTTTTCACAAGGAATGGAAAAAGTAACTTTTTATCATCACATGAAGGATCTCTAAAATAAATTTTATTTGAAAAATATGAGGTTCCATGAAATTGCAAATACTTCTCTTTTCAGTAGTGTCTTCTGGATTCCATAGTTGGGGAAGAGGTACTAAGATGCGTTTAAAGTGTTGTGCTCATAGCCTGGGTATCCTTGTGCAGAGAGATGAAGCAGAAACTAAACAAAATTGGAATATAAATATTCACTTTAGGAGAAACTCACCCGGGGACTCCAAAGCAAAGTGGTAGGTCCATATCAGACCTGACAGGCCAGCAGACAAGGACTTTACTAGAGGCGGTATTGGAGTGCAAATGTTGTCATGCATGTTTTTTATTTTCAGGAACAGAAGCATAGAATCATTTAGAATTAAGTCATCGTACAGATAAGGAAACTAAGCTCTACAAGGATGTAACATCTCAAACTTTGGCGTATTACCAAGAACATAGGGGATCCAATACATTTGGAAGAATTGAGGCTATTTCTAGAAAACAGAGAGAAACATAAATTTCATCTCAAGACATGTTTAATGCAAAGCTATTGTACGAAAAGTGTTATGGGTGCAAAGCAGAATAAGGCATTGATCTCTGCCTTTGAAGAGCTTCTATATCAGGAAAAGAAGGTCACATCCTGTAGGTAGACTTTGAGCCCCTCCGCTTCCCAAGAGAATATCTAATAAGTGTCATGTGCGTGCCACACGCCAGGTGACAGAGGGCGGAGGAGAACACAATCCCTGTGGGTTGGATGGAGAAGAACTTTCTAGGAGGAAGGAACTTGGAGCTGGATGTCAAGGGTCCTGACAGCGGATGTTCCAGAAGCAAGTACCATGAGATGAAACCACACAGTGTTTGGGGAGCAAGCTGGGTGTGTGGTTCATTTTCTAAACAAGTGGGTGATGAAGCTAGAGAAATCTATGGATAAGTACAAGACATTGATAAATATACTGTCATATATATAGTATATATTCTATACTGAATACCTATTGTACGGCAGATAATATTGCTAATAAACACTTTTACACATGAGAAAGCGGGGACTGAACAGCTGTTAAGTATTAAGAATGCGCCCCTACTAAGGAGCCCAGAATTAAGCTCCGGCTTCTGACCACCCTGCTCTGTGCTAAACTAGGATTGTGCACGTAGTTGAGTGGGGTGCTCAGATCCCCCATTAGGTTGTGCAAATAACGGGAAATCCAGAGAGGGTTTTATTGACAGGAATTGTCCGAAGACCAAATTTCATGAATCACTTTTCTGGCGTAGGCATTGCTTCCTTCCTGACATAAATTCGGAGCGCTGTTTGAATTACTGGTCCTTAGGGGAGATCCCAAGTCGTTAGAAATGGTCGCTATCTTTAAACTTGTTTCAGTACCTCTTGTGTTATTTTTAGGTGGATGATGACAGAATGGACTCCATGTTCACGAACTTGTGGAAAAGGGATGCAGAGCAGACAAGTGGCGTGTACCCAACAACTGAGCAATGGCACCCTGATTAGGGCCCGGGAGAGGGACTGCGTGGGGCCCAAGCCTGCCTCTGCCCAGCGCTGCGAGGGCCAGGACTGCATGACCGTGTGGGAGGCGGGAGTGTGGTCAGAGGTGCGGTACACGCCTCCTTTCTTTTCCTTTTCCTTTTCCTTTCTTTCTTTCTTTCTTTTTTTATTTTTTTGTTGCTTAGCTTGTATAAGGTCATGTTGTATCATGTTCAGAATCTCTCTGCATGGCAGTCGATATTTTTCAATACCATCTGCTGATTTTGCTGATAATAAAAAATATATATATGCTCATTGTAAATAATTTCGAAAACAGGAAAAAACAAAGATACTTCCTGTTTCTGTACTTTCTGTAAATATTGTAACATAATTAAGAGCACATTTTATATGCGTTTAGAATTTTGCTTTTTCATTTATATGTCATGAGTATACTCTTAAGTGGGCACATGTTAAAATACACATTTGGCTCATTATATATCCCTGAACATTTAAAAGGGAAAGAACAAAGGAATTAACATTAACAATCATTTTCTATGAGCAAAGACTGTGTTTTGACTTCATATATAGTATGTTGTTTATATGTAATCACCAATGCAAGAAAGGCATTACCATTTTATAATATAGCTCAGAGAAATGAAGTAGTTTATGCAAAGTCCTACATGATGGTGGAGCTGGGATTTGAACCCATTACTGTCTAACTCTGCGCCACACATCTGCTAGCTTGTAGCATGTAGCACGAAGGTGTGTTCCATGCCAAACTGTGTGCTTTATTTTCTGTTTTCATGATACATATCTTTACATAATAATCCACAATGGTCATTATATTTCCTGGCTGCTCAGAAGCAGATTAGGTGAGTATGTGGGTGCGCGCACGTGTGCACGCACACACACACACACACACACACACACACACACACACACACATTTATATACCCGTACACATGTGCAAAGACCAATGCACACACATACCCAGAGCAAAATCATCCATGTGCTTAATTTCAGAATATTATATAGGATATAAAAATGATAAATAAAAAATGCTAGATTGCAGTAAGTAGCCATTCTTATGAAAATGAGCATAAAGTAGCTTAGATAATAAGATTTGTGAAATTCTTCATTGAACCCAATCCCCCCAAAAGCACATTAGCAAATAATGTGACTTTCTGTTGTCTTTCTTTCGTGATCTCTATACCTTGCTGTTTAATAGATTCTTCTTCACGTGTAATGTGTGCTTTTGAGAATGAATACAATATCTAATTTTACATCAACATGAATCAGGAATCGGTTCAATCTGAAGAGAAGAATCACATGAACATCAGAGAAACAAATAAACTCCACCTCCAGCCTAGCCATAATGCTTCCGCAAACTCTTCAGGAGGCGATAGGTCAGAAATAGTTTACTGTATGGATTTTGGCACCAGCTAGTAGAAATGATATGTCTCAGTGCAATATGCCAATGAAAAAATGGCTCTTTTGTTTTGATTCAATTTAAAATTGATTTTAATGGATCAGGGTTAGTTTCAGTTGCAAAAAATAAAAATATAAATATTAAAATGCCAAATCATACATATAGTCTAAAGCTCAACATATTCAAACACAAGCCATAGATTATGAGATAAGTACTTAATTTGTGCAAAATTTAGTATATTGAAAATATCATTAGTTCCATGCTCAAGTTTTCAGGAGCACAGCTGTTGGAATCCACATGGTTATTCTGGTGCTATGTCATTGCTAAATGTTTACCTGCACCGTTTTCTTTAGACCTTTTGGAGACACAAATACAAATTGGATTTTCAAGTTTTGCCATAGCTGTCATTTCCCGACCCTTCCCTGTCCCACCCAATGCCATTTTGGTCCCTGTGTCCAGATGGCAGTGATGTGGCACCTTTGTAAAACTGGGAGCTTTAGACATATTCCATAATAGGAAGCATAAATGTAAATGACAGGGGAAATTGCACCTAAAAGATTGATGGAATATACATGTGTGCTTCATATCTGTATGTCATCATTGTCAGTCAAGCATCAATTATTTATGAAGTGAACTAAACTATTTTTGAACCGAATTATATTTCAATCCATACAAGCATTTGGAATGATGATTTCCATATATTATGTAAAGAAATTCTTTGGTTTATTTTTGTTAAGATTTTCTCTGTTTTAGCTTTAAGAATGGTTTGTGAAAAATGACATTCTGTAAGAAATTGTCATTTTGCACCAACGTTTCTTAAGGCTCAAACAGTAAATTTCTGCCAAAATAAAATAATGAATGTTCTTACATAAGTTCATGTAAAAATTGGATATCAAATTTAGTATTTACATTTGATCACTGTATATTTGTCTTTCATAAATAATCCCTATGACATATTACACTCTGTAATAATGGTCCTGTGTTCCTGAAACCCTTTTGCCTCCAGCACTGGGCTCTAAGCTCCATCTGGCCTCCCGTCCTGGTATGTAGCTTAGTCTCCTTATTCTTTATTTCTTTATTCTTTTATCTGGACTATATGTGAGTTATAGGCTTATGAGAGATGATTAGAACCGATACTTAACATAATTTTATCATTCGTCTGTATCTCCTAATTAATGACTTTATCCATACTCTCTGATGTTATCTTCCAGTGCTCGGTCAAGTGTGGCAAAGGCGTCCGTCACCGGACCGTGAGGTGCACTAACCCTAGAAAGAAATGCGTCCTCTCCACCAGACCCAGGGAGGCCGAGGACTGTGAGGATTACTCGAAATGCTACGTGTGGCGAATGGGTGACTGGTCTAAGGTGAGAATCGTTCTGTACATCTTGGTGTTAGGTTTCAATAAGGTCAGCATTGCTGCGGGTACCGTAACTATACAGTATGAAGTTCAGGAGGGATGGAAGGCAGAGGTAAAGATCATGGGATGTGGAGTATTATACCCCCAGGTTCAAATCCTGCCTGTCTGTCCATGATCATGATCTGTATAAAACGGTTTTAAAGATTAAGTAAGATAAAATGTATAAAGCATTTAACACCATTTTTGACACGAAGAAAGCGCTCAGAAACACTATTACTGTTGTTTTGTGGCTAGTTTTTGTGATATAGCTCTTTGTCGGAATATTTTTGCATAAATATTCCCTAATAAATAGAATACTATCAGGTAAGTCAATTCAAAATATAATTAAGGAAAGTATCGGTAGAAACAAACAAAAGAATTACCGTCATAAAAGACATTCTTTTTCCCACTAACATCTGGGGTTGCATATGGACGAGATGGGAAGGAACAGAATTCTTGAAGCTGTTTGGTCAAATCAAGGGGACACAACTCATTTGGCAGTTGAACAGTATATTTAATACCATGATAATAATAATGCTAGTTAAAATTTATGACTAAAGTAGAGCCTCCCATATAAATGAGCTGTACAAAATAGGTCACATATTCACTCTACAAAGTATTAATAAATCCCATGGTTTAAGAGAAAATTCTGATCACATCTAGGTGAAAACAGCTCTCAAATACTAGTTTTCAGAAATGTAAGTATTAATCAAATAGTCCTCTGTGCCTTGCCGCATTTAGCTTTGATGTTATGTACCTATTGTCATAGGATCATAAAATTCTAAGGCTTAGAAGAAACATAATAAATCCTTTCTTCTTCCCTTTTATTGTATAAATAAAAAAAGTCAAAGTAGTGGCTGCTGGGGTATGGTGGGAAGGTGGCAGCTCTTCATAAACAACACTAAGGAACATTCTGGAAGAAGTCTTTTCATTGTATAATATACTGTGTCTAGCCAGTTTGCCCAATGCTGCCCCCCAAAAAACCCATGACATTTAAAATCTATTTTCTTGTGATTATTCATGCCTTTTCTCCCTAACAAAAGTTTGCATATTAACATGGCATCTAAGTTTTCAGTAAACTGTACTCTCTTTCCACTACTTACAACATTCAGAGTTCATATTGGGAGTCTTAATGGATGCATTTGTAAACTATGTAAATTATTCCCTGACTACAGAATTAGGAACTATTCAGCCCAATCCAAACCGTGCAGCTAACTGGTGAAGCATATAAGGGAACTTCCCCCTTCAGAGTAAACTACTTTTAGGTGAAAGAGAATTCCCAATTAACCACAGATAACTTTGTTTTATGTTCAGGGTTATGTTTCCCTAATTCTGAGAGAGAGAAATAGAGTAGGATGATAGCGAAAGACAAGTGTTTGGAAGCCAAGAGACATGGGGACAGTTTGGACTCCCTCATTGTGCAGATCGCCACATTGGTTAAGCCATTGATTGCATTTGTGTCTTTGTTCCCATATGAGTGAAATAAAGAAAATTGACATCACTATTGTTTTCAAGCTACATGTATATATTAACTCTTCATTCAGCACTGAAGGTGTAAGATAGGATGAGAAATAAAGTACTAGCTGGAGGGATCTACGTAGGGGAGATCACCTATTGCTCACTTTCAATTATTTTGGCAATGAAATTCTGAATGTTTTTCCTTAGATGAAATGATTCTGCTCTTAGGAAAACTTTAAAAACCACTAGAATAGATGAGCTATATTTTTCCAACTTCATTAATTAATAGAAATATTTTAAGTGATAAATATTGTTAACTTACAGTTAACTACAAAAACCAAAAGTTGTAATTGCAAAAACAGAAGATCCAGGTTTTATTGTAATTTATAACAGAACTGTAAGCTCCTATGTTGCCCCATATAGCAATATGGCTCAGCAAATTCTATTTGCATGATAAATACTATTACCTTTGATTAAAAGTGCCTATTATGTAGCCTGTGGTTAAATCTTAAGCAAAATCAAAATTACCTGGGGAGATCATAGAAAATGTTAACTTTGGTTTTCCATGCTAAGCCTGAAAGAAATATATTTAAATTTTTTACCACAATCACATATACTTGTATGATGGAATTTTAAATCTACCTGGAATGAATTACTTTAAATTGATTTTATTGTGCTACTATATTGCTAACCAGCTAGAACATAACCGTTATGAGTAAGGAAAGAAACATATAGACACAATAAATATTCATCTTTATTCCATGACTTTTTACCTTTGTTTGTTGGACCGTATGTTTGTTTGTTTCCTTATTTAGAAGATCCAGCATGTTGCTTTTTATTT